CCGAAAACAGAGCGCACACTGTAACAGATGTTGTTTGCTCGCAAACCCGAGAATACAAAAGAAGACGGTGGCGCGCAAACCCTGAATCCCAACAGACGATCTTGGCTGGCAAGCCAGAAAAGGTAAAAGGATGCCCTAAACCCAGAAGAGCATCCGGACATGCGATGATGACTCACTCGCTCTCCAAAGCCCAAACTTAAGAGAGGATCGTAAACCCAGGACCTGGAAGGATGCCCGAAATACTGGAGAGAAGTGCCACACACCCGGACACCGAAAAAGAAAGTGATAGCTGGCATTTCCTTCGTGGAAGGACATCTCGCCTGCTCACGGCCAAGGGCCTAAAGTCTCTTGCACCAAGTGGTTCGAAAAAATTCAAACCCAAAGCGGGCGGGAACAGGGAATGATGAGATGCTGACAAGACCGGATGAGGAGGCAAACACGAGATCCCTGATGGGGGTGACAGCTGGTGCTCATGGTGGAGAGCGCTGAACTTTCAACGATGGGTGGCAATCGCATTAACAGGGTCACAAGTACCGAAAGGCCCAAAAGGGATGATGGGCCACTGTATGCAGCAACTGTGACCCAAGCACCCACCACTGCGCACAAATACTACTGCTAAACCTTGCTTCCGGGGTGGCTGGACAACAGTTCGGTACAGACCAAACAGAAACACCTTGTAATGCTTGTCTGCCTTGATGGCAGAAGTTGTCGCACTCCAAATCGATGATCGCCCGCTTGACCATGTAGTCAAAGTCAAATCTGTTTGTGTGCGGATGCACACCAACCAACCCTATGTTCAGCCAAGAATGCTTGATCAGAGATACGTCAGGACGCACGCGGTAGCGTCACCCGTAACTGAAACAACACGTGACAATGCTGGTGCTCTTTGGAGAAATGCGATCAACATCGTTTAGCTTTTCAATGCTCAAACGATTCAGAAGGGGCAGCAGCTTGCGCCCTGCATGTGAAACGAGCCACGCTAAAACACTTTGGACTCCTTCCTGAGTCAGAAACCCACAGTCACATTTCCTGTCGCAGATGCCGCGACTCCAGCCCAGCTATGTAATAGGTACCAACCTGGATCATCAAGCGCTGCCTCGTTTTTTTGCACACTGCTCACGCTTTACAACAAAACATTCCGCACAAAAAGGTCCAAACCAGAAACTGATTGCAATCCCGAGCTCACGAGGAATGCGCCCAAGCAAAAGCGGGGTGCCTGTACGCATCCTGTGACATTGGGACCTCAATCAAAAGCTTGTGCCTTTGGCGGTTCATCTCCAATCCAAGTGAATCCGTGCATCCATTACTTGCTCTTGTTCTTCGGACAACTGGGAAACTGCACACTGTCGAATGTCCCGCAGCTCTGCCACAAAGGTCAGCAAGCGGTCGGCATTCTCTCTCCCAGGAATGAATGCAGACGCCTTAGGCCGCAACAAGACATCATCAAAATGATGAAGATCGCGACAGATCTTTAACTGCGCAAGACAAGCGTCGAACTCTTCGGATGCATGAGGCCCACCGAAGACGGCAGGATCATGGTTGGCCATCAGCGCGATCGTAGAACCATAAGTTCCTGTGTTGGACTCCGAGACAGCTGAAACCTCATAAGTCTAAACTTAGGATCTTCAACTCGACCCCGAGCGAGAAGCTCCCGGAAGAGTCGCACTCAACTGAGCGAAGAAAAGCCAACAAAAAAAGAGCGGGGGAGAGCGAAGACGTGATCTCAACCCGGCGACAAAGCCGTGCTGTCTTCGCAGCGAAAAGAGGACCTCACGATGCACGTCACCTTCAACGGGAACCACGCTGATTCGTAAGTTTGCCCTGCAGACGTACTAGACGTCTTACCTGAAAGGCCAGCCACAGCTAACGAGGATTGTGCGGATTGTACGTGCAGCGCCTTCTTCAGGCCACCATGATCCTCTTGCAGCTGAGACTGTGTGTCGCATCGGACTTGCCAATGTGACTGTGAAAAGTTTTCGTGCAGACTGCTCCTGCATCCTTATAGGGGTTCAAGGACAAAGCTCGTCGGAGCAAGGCAGGGACGGATTTGCTAACAGCCTGGCGTTTCCCGGACGTCCTATCTTGGGGCTTGGGGGAAGGAACCCGCAATGTCGCGCACGCTTGCTGCACGCCACTTCGACTGAGACATCAAAGTCTTGCTGTTCGGATTCCTGCTTTTTCCTCGACAGTGAAGCCGGTGCCAAGGGTGTGCGTCCTAGGCGAATTGTGAAAATCTTTGCAAGTGGCACTGCGTGAAAAAACTGCGCATAATCAGACTGCAGACAAAGCTCGTGGTTTCCTCTGTTATCCAGGGATTCACACCTGCTCCACCACCCCCCTGTGTTCTGAGCACCTGCAGGACAAGCGCAGTCTACAGGGCAAGCAGAGTCTCATCGGCATTCAGAGCCTCCAAGACGAAAGCGCCCGGATCATGCTTGAAGAGTGGAATGTTGGTTTCTGGTGCTCTCTGCAGAAGCCTCTTGCAAAATACGACAGCCACACAGTCTGATCGCCAAAAACTCCCGGGTGCCTGAGGAGCTTGAAGGTCGCCAGGGCACCTGCCAGCACACTTTACAGCTGGTCAACACCACCCAAGAGCGGTTTGGCAAGTCATACCGCAAAAACTGTCCTCCAGGTCCGTCTCCACCGAAGCCAGCAAAGGACAGCTCGAAGAGTGTTTTGCGCAAGCGCTCGCGCCCATTCATGCCTTCACCGTCGATGCAAGGACCCCTGGAAACCATGGGCAAGTCCAGGATGGTAAAGTGTTGCCGCGCGCCTCTCCTCTCAGCTTCGTCCATGAGCCGCTGGCCGATCTTGCCACTTGCCATCTTGTCTTCCAAGACCTGACGAAAGGGTGTGAAAGCTCCTCGTGTCCTTGTGCAAACTCTCGTGCGATCTCCAGCCTTGGCAAGCTGTGCACACTGGGCACCACCCGCTGCCGAGCCCATGCCGAAGATTGTCCGGAAGTGCACCTTCAGCTGGCAACTGAAAATGATCCAACGACCCGGACCTCAATCAACCACTTCTCGCAAAGAAGCACTCAGGCTCCGGCGCGAAGCCACTCTTTCAGCGTGAAAATCTCCTCCTGACTTGCTATCTATTGTCCATACCCGGTGGAATCAATACCAAACAAGCGATGTTGCATGATACCATGCTCAAGGGCAAGCGACACTGGTAAGGTCAACCTCGAAGGTATGCCTCAGAGGCCAAGGCCACCGTAGCGACGATTGCAGAGACTTGGTGACTTGGCCAAGCTGGCCTGAAGAAGTTGAATGCGAACACATCCTGCACCTTGCTGGGAACCACTTTGGGAAACGGGAAGATCAGGTGCCTCGGATACAAGTGCGCAGCTGGGGCACAAATGTTTGGCGCACGTGTCAGTCAGGATTCGTTGAGACTTCTTGTATCAGATCGTTCGCAGAGATTCCAGGAGCTGGCTTGAAGTCCTCACACGCAAATGACAGCAGTGGGGAACCCAGCAAACGTTACGACAAACGGCGTGTCCGGGACGATGTCCGGGTTTTCGGCCAGTGCTGGCATCACAGCAGATAGCAGGTCTCCTGAACTGCCAGCGACTCAGTCTCAGCATACAGACAACAGTGAATCATAGAACCTAGATATTCAGCTAGCATCAGCGCCGCCACCGACTCTTTGCAAACCAAGACTCTGTGCGCGTAGCGGCTATCAGAATCTGTATTCAGCCTTGGGTGAAGCAAACCTCCCTGAAGTGCCATTGTCTTTCGCCGCCATTCCGTGCTCAAGTTGCTGGAGCAGAGTTGGGAGAACTCCGGGGAGGAAATAGCCTCCGACGGGCTCGAACAAAAACGACAGCAGAGCGAAAGCACGCCGAGACCGGGGCCTTCTGGAACCTTCGAAGTGTCAACTGTCACGAAGACGCTGCTGTCCCTCTTCAGCTTCCTCAGTGCAGGAGTCGCCTGGAGCCTGGGGGCTGTGAACTCGAACGCATCCAACTGAAAACACCGTCAAGGAGCGGATTGTAGTGCACCGCTCTCACAGAGGCATGGCTGAGGCGCGAAACCATGTAGCTGGTAGCAGGCGCAGTGGTGCTGGGAACTCGGTGAGATGTTCTAGTCTCTGACACAAGCACCTTCATGCTGCAGGCGTGCGTGCAAGCAACCGATACCTGGAAACACTGAGTCTTGGGCATAGACCAACTCCAGTTTTGTGGGCATCTACAGCATATGCCAGCAGTGGATTCCATACAGGACCAACGGCAATTCCACCTCCTGTCAGCTCACGGCAGCGAGCCTTCCCCGCGGCAGCAAACGGCCATGCTTACTGAAATCATAAAAAGCAGAAGCGTTCAAGGCAGCAGAAGGGTCCGACTTTCCAGATGTGTCTGGCTTGGCCCACGATCTGCAGAAAATGTCTGGCTATCGGAACAGGGACCACGTAGGTATCCACTGCGCGGATGTAAGCACCTTCAGGGGCCGTGACTCCGAAACTGGAGGCTAATAAGCTAGCACTTTCACGGGCTCCTGTACGGAATAGCAAACATGTGAAGGACTCTTCGCACTGAAACCAGCTCTGGGCGCGCTCCGCTCCAGGAAGACATAAGCATCCGAAAAACACCGCAGGAATGACCAGGAGCAAAATGAGGCACACACGGCACCAGCCCATCTCGAGCTCGCAACTGTGGGGGTGCTAGGAACTCGCTACGAGACCGTGAGCTAGCAACGGCAGGAAAGAGTCTACAGCCACCCACAGCCCCCATGATGACAGAAAGCTATGCCAAAATCAGACCCAAGCAAAGCTTTTCTGCTGGACATGCTGTCTTCATCGACCCAGGCTTGAGCATCCGGCGAATCGCTAGCCCATTCGGCATGCTGCGAACTACCGATGAATCGCTTGCCGCCCTCGCACGACCCAAGCACTCCCGGGATCTTTTACGACACGCGGCATCAGGTGCAGCCCTGGGCTCTCACTCAGCTGTAGAAGCTGCGCCATCAGTGACAGCATGTCGACAGACGTGAAAGCCATCATCTGCTTCGGCTTCTACTTCTGCTTCGCGCACTTCCTTGGGCTCCTTGATCTGCCTGACCTACGGCCATGCCCGGAATCATCATGGGCATCATTGGCATGACGCCGGGCATCATTGGCATGACACCAGGCATCAGGCCGGGAGGCATCATCATCGGTGGCATCATCATCCCAGGCATCATGGGCATCATTCCTGGCATCAGCATGCCAGCGGCTGCCTCCGACGCTTCGGGGTCCGCCTGGCTTGCCTCTCCATCAGGCGTAACTTCCACTTGAGGTGTTGTTTCTCTCTTCTCGGCAAAGCGGCATTCCTGGCGGCCATGCCATTCCATATCAAGCACCCCTGGCACCGACAAACCGCATCGTGGAACACCCACCAAAAGACTTGAAAAGACTTGAGACTCGAGCCCTGAAAGTCGTGAGAAACAACCTGGAGGACACTGGAGAAAGGAGCACAGCCCAGTCCTCGATGAACGAGTCCGTTAGACGCTTCAGTCTGTCGATGGCGAGAATTTTCCCGTCAGGATTAAGAGTCAAGCAGTCTTTAAGCTCCACATAGGATTCCTTGTCCTCGCTGCCCACTCTCTTGTCCACGATCTTGCCCTCATACTCAATAAATGTTTCATGACCAAGCTTGTACTTGATGATGACATAGCTGCCAAGCCTGAGCAGACAAGCACGTGCAACATCGGAACCTCTTAATGCTACTGGCCATTGAAATCCAAAGTCGACGATCGCTTCAGCCCTGGCAGCCCTGCATATCCTCTTGCAAACAGGCAGCTTGAAACCCTTTGTCACGAATCGTTTTTTGCCCCTGCCAGCTGGTCCAAATGTTTTGGTATAGCCTTGATGACCACCCAACGGCCCAGACATCGTTTGGCTTGTCGCTCAGTGTTTCCTTGATGTAATTTGGGCTTGGTTTTGTCGATACAAGAGCTGTCTGCCTCCAATCTCCTCCGCCCTAGGTGGAGTTACAAGAATGGCCAACCACTGCACATGAGTGAATCCTGAACTCATGCGCACTATGCTGGGAGCCACGACAGCATTCGCAAACGTTTAAACACTCCGCCGGGAGAAAATGCCCTCATTATCAGTAATCTTGCCCGTCTGTTTTGTGCGTCGCTCGCAGATTCCATTCTTGCCGAAGTGAAAGCCGCCGCGAATCCGCAACGTTAGATTAATTTGCACTCCTTCCGAGCGGCAGAGTGGTCGCGCAACCGGAGGACTGAACTGTGTCATCAAGTGCAATCCCAAAACGAAGCTCAGCAGCAAGACGACGCGGAAAGCCGACAATGAGCCGGAAGCTGAACAAGGGTCTAGCGACGCCAGGAGTGCACGCCACCCGCAGGCTTTCGCGACGCGAATTCGCACTCCAAGATGGCTTGGGCTTGTATGGGTTCTCGAATCAATCGGGCACCTCATGTCACAATAGGCACATGCCCACGCAGCTTTTCTTGCTCTGGTGGCAAAGGACGGATCGTTGGCTCGCAGGACTTTGTGCTTTGTTCCTGCTCTGACTACGTCAGCTTTGTGCTGGAATCTCTGGCTTCCGGTCCCGTCTTGGGACTTGACAAGCCTGATCATCTGCGCGGTGTGTGCACGGCATACTGCCTTAGTTGTCTGAAGTCTCTTGATGTCTCTTGATGTCTCTTGATACGCAGTACATGCCGCCCCATCTGCAACAGGCAAGCCAAGGTTCACCTGTCGAGCCGGGGTGGCTCGATCGATCGTGCGGGGAGTCGTGCCTGTCCGGATTCTCTTCGAAAGCTCTTGACCCTTTGTGATGAATGCTTCGGAATGCTTCAGATGTCACCTGCCGGTGGTCGCGAAGGCACCCTTCGTGGCGTCATGCAGCGTGCAGGGTGCACTGCCTGATGCAGGAGCGGGGATGCTGAGCTTCCCGTGTAAAAACCGACCGAGGTTGTACTGGACACGAGTGTGGCAAAGAGTTACGTTCCTACTCCAACAATATCTTACACTATGGGGTACTCTACAGGCGTTGAACCGTTGAAGTGGGGCCACTTCAAAGAGCAACGATGCCGCTGCCTCTTGAGGAGACACAAGGATGAAGCGGGAGCCCACCTCAGTGTCGAGAAGCTCGGGAAGTCATGGAAGCTGTTTTGGGTCCGACCTGCGGAGGAACCCCTCGAGCAGTCCAAGGCCTTGGGCATGCAGTGTTCAGTGCATGTGTGGGTGTGTAACGGTTCTGTAACATCCGAACATCCATCCGCTGAGGTCTGCCGGCAAACTGCAATTAGAGGCTCTGGCTGCTGGGATGGCTGCACATCGCCCCTGCCGAAACTGACCAGCAAAGGCCGCAAATCTCTTGCTGCTCTGGCCTGGGTGTCCTTGCAAAACCAGGACACGGACCAGCTGCGCCTGTGCAAACAGAAGTGGCAATAAGGCCCCGAATGTGCGGCATCCAGCGCTCGGAGCACCTGCCAGGGGGCTTGCGCATCGAGTCCTGGCAGGGCTGCTTTGCAGGGTATGTGGCTCGCTTAGATCACTCGCTGAACCCATGCCTGACGGCTGGCACCGGCGAGCTCGTGCGCCTCACGCATACTGGCACACTGTCCGACTGGACTGAAGACTGCACCACGCGAAAGTGGCTGAGGAGCTGGCAGAGGAGCGACCATTGGGCTCCCTGGTGCAGGTGCGACAACACCGGGGCCAACAACACCACCTCCACGCGCATGAAACAGCATACGTCGGTACGAGCACTGCTGTCGGCCTGAGCCCGCCACAGTGCACTGGGTGAGGATGCAGCACCGTGCCTGGACTTGGCATCCGCGCTGCTGAGCCTGCGAGCAACATCCGTGTACCAGATGGAAATCTTACAAGCTGTTTTCTCTGAGATTGCGAGTCGGGAAGCAACTATGAAATCAACTGACCTTGATCCTGCAGTTAAACATCCGGTCCAGTCACTGGAACATTCTGATTCCAACGACGGATGTGGCAATAGCCGTGTAGAGTAGAGTTCTTGGTAGGGGCTATTTCGTGGCTTCAGATCGAAAATCCAATGTTCAGCTTCGATCGGGAAAACAAAGGAGGCAACAAAGGGTGGAGGCGGACAGGTAGGCAATTGAACTGATGTTTGTAGGATGGGCATGTGGAGGGAGGGGGCTCGCTCTCCGTTGAATGTCCTCCTCTGCGATTGAAACTGCAAGTCTTGAGCCTTTGATAGTGTCATTCCACAGGTTTGGGAGTCTGGTCGGGAAGTGCTGACAACCACGAGAGAAGCATTCGAGTTCTGCATCGCGAGAGTCCGGAAGTACGAAAGGACCTATTCTACAACCTTCCACACTCTAACTCCGGGTGCGAGGCGACTTCGACAGTGTCACATGAAGTTCCACAACATGATAACAGGTTTCAAGATTACAACAATCAACATCGGGTACCCCTTCCGAGAAAGAGCAATCGGTGGATAGAAAGAGAGTAACCCGGATGGTAGGTTTCACAATGTGCCATGCAACGGTTCTTGCGATAGCAGTGCGCCGGTTGTCTGGGGGATTGCCAATTAGACTTGCACTTTCGTGCTTGACCCATGTCCGGGTTAGCCTTGAACGGCCTATGCGGGAATGAGAGCCAGATTCCAAATGGAGTCATGACAAACGAGCCCCGAAACGTGACAAGAACGACCAGCCTTAATCCTCAACACGACGGGAGGTAAACTCTGACACGAAGCCAACCAAAGCAACCACAACAACCGATTGCCAAACCTTGAAAGCTCCTTGTATTTAAAAGAACTGAGAGGCAATACCAAAGCAGTAAAGCATAATGCAAATGACAGGAAGCAAGCCTTACGGCACCGTACACTCTACGAAGTAATGAGAGCTGGAGAACCTACGGTATAGACCCCCAAAGCCCAAAGCAACATCGTGCTGGCCGGGCGGCCAAGCGAGCCTGCCCGGACATCCGCTGAACTCAGTGCGTACCTCGTCCGGACGAGCACCGACTTTGGGGCCCTGTCGCAGACTCCGAGGCTCTGGCCGTGGTGGACCGCTTCCCAGCAAAGTGAAACCAGGCCGCTGCACGGCCTGCACTGCACGCCACCCAGCTGGAGCTGACCTGAAATCACGAGTCGTAAGCAGATTCTGCTCGGTTCTGCTCGGAAGCCGGACGCTAGTCGTTGAAGCCGCTGTGGCTGCATGCCCTGCGGCTGGACCTAGCAACAGAAACACTGCCACAGATCTCTCGTGGCTCTCTCGTCAGCCTGTCCGGACGTCTTTATTCTAGAGTCTAGTGCAGCTGTGAAGCATTGGTCGTGCTGATATGTCCATGCCAGGGCGTGATCACCTCCGTGACCACATACACAGGCGGCAGAGAATCCGAGTCTGAGTGCATCTCAGGTGCCGGGGCCGGGGAGAGCTGCCGCGGCCCAAGGGAGTGCTGGCCTGCGCACCATCTCCGGCGGGCAAGGGAGAGCTGCCTTTTCTCTGTGCTCCAAGCACCGCACTTTGCACCCGACTTTGGTACACCGCAGCTTCAGGGCCACCTGTGCCGAGATGTCCGACGTCAACGTTGCTTGCGTGCACAGATCCCTCTTTCAATCCAGGCGGCCTCTAATGGAGAGCTCTGGCGGTACAGCCTTCAAAGAGCCAGAATTCTCCCTTCTTTTGCGTACATCAATCGAGAAGCCTCCGTGGCCTTGTCAAACCCGATTGGCTTTGCACCTTAAACAATTGTGCTACGAAAATCTGCACAGGTGCCGACATTCGGTCCGAGTCGTGAACCAGTAGCTTGCACGCTGTCGGACCTCTCCTTATACAATGCGTATCTAAACATGACATACAGGAAAAGCAGAGATGGCTGTAAAATCTTTGCTGCTGTACGGACTTGTCCATGATTATCGTCCGTCTTTCTGAAATCTTGGTTAGCGTGAAAGCCCCTGCACATGTCAATTTGACAGGTGCTCTTGGCTGAGTGTGTTCGTACATCCTCTGCAGTGTGTGCGGTACCTTGTGCACGGTCATTTCGACCCTGCTCTAGATGCGATTTGTTCGCCGCCCTCGAGGGGCTGCGGCAAATCAGACCGCTCAGGTACCGGTCGAAAACCGGCCTCTACGTGGGAAGCAAGCATGCAGACCCGTTTGTCGGAACCTTACCGAAGAGGTTACTGGCCGTGTCAGTTTCTGCTGCGGTCGCGAAAGTTGAAACAACTTCGGGCAGTGGGATCGACTGCTGAGTAATGCACTTGAGCCTGCAAATTGGTGAGGTGAGAGTTCAAGTCATCTAAGCCTGCCATAAAGGCGGAAATGAAGCTGGCCGAACTTGCAGAGGAAGACCCAGCCTTTCAGCTTTCTGTTGATTTCTGTGTCGATCAACCTGAGTATGTACTAGATTAAACATGACAGCAAGCATGGTCGGCAGGAGTTGAGTCTTTCGGCTGAGCCGGCAACACAAGATGATCAGAAAGCCGCTTCAGCGCAGACGCTTTATCCCAGCCTGACGGAGCGGCACAGCCGGTGTCCAAACCCAGGTACGCATGCTCGCATGTCGTCGCACACAGCCTTGAGGCAAGGTCGCGGGAACAGTGGCTGATCCTGGCATTGTGCCAGTCTCAGATTCACTGGCATACACTGGCAGAAATAATCCAAGCGCACCAAGTGCATCCAGGAGCTGATGCAACGCCTGAAAAACATGGCCCGCTCAACGAAAGTGCTCCTGACAAGCAACAGTCTTCGCCCGTCGCCTTGTCATCGTGTTCTGGTATGACCAAGTCCTTTCTTGCGAACACGGAGAGCTGATCCTCATTGCCTGTGTGGACTTCTGAGCTTGGGGCTATTGCTTGTGATTTGCCTTCGCCACCATCCAGTGGCCTGCAGTCAGAGGACAGCCGGACAGCCTCTTTGCTCCCGAACGGTGAAATGTCTCAAACCGTCTCGGCACTCGGCGCCATGTTGCCAGAGGCTGCCAGAGCAAACCACCGAAATTACTCACATCAGGCAGGCAGCGGCTACACCATTGAGCAAACGGCGAGCAGCAAACATGCCCTCAAGTTTCGCAAGCTAATACGTCCAGATATCAGCATGCCGCAGGTTTTCCGAAAGGCAACAGCCCACCTGCATTTGAGAATACTTTACTGGTTGGTGCGCGGCTAGGACTATAAGTAATTGCAGGAACGTCTCGCGCCGTCTGCACGAAATGCTGCAACTTCTACAGGGGATCTTCTGGACCTACTGGCCTTTTGCGCAGAAAGCTGCCAGCCACACGTCAGCCATAATTTGTAGATCATCACGCTCTTGAATTACTGATTACTTCGTTGAACTCTGAACTGTCAATTCGGCAGCACGGCTCGTGTGAGACATGATGGACGTCCCGAGTCTGTGACTTGGGGGCGTCGAAGAGAATAGGAGCCTCATTCGTGATTCCTGCGTGTATGATATCAGTCATCTGAGCCTCCACCAGTGGCCTGGAATGCCACCACAGGCCACAGTTGAAGAAGGCTCCGAAGAACTGCCGTCTTGGAAGAATCTGCGACAGACATGCCGGGACGACCAAGAGAAAGAACCCGCCAATGAAGGGTGTCAAGAAGACAAAAAAGCCAAGAACCACGAGCGGGCTCCTAAGCTTCTCCTGAGTGCGCCGCGACGTGAAAGCCGTTAAACTGGAGACCGAGAGTAAGTCACTCTACCGACAGCGACTCCTCTGCCGGAAGATCATCAAAGTCGCTCCTGACGGCACGGCTGATTTCGATTCTTGTCAACTACGAAAAACATATTGCATGCACGGGTACTTCCAATAGTTCATCTTCTTCTCCTCCTCCGGAGTCCTCTCCGAGGTTGTGCAATAAGCTCTTGAGAAACGGCTCGCAAGGCTGAGCTCCAACGTCAAACATGCCAGCTTCACCGGGGCATCTCATAAGTATCCTCTGGACTGAGACTTGTTTCCATATCCCGCGGTGGCGGCCTCTTTTCCTGTGACCACAGTTTCCATGCGAAACTGGCTTTTACTGTTAAGTTAAAACCCGGATATCAGTTCCGAGCAACCACCCAGGATTGCGAACAAGGCTCTGCGGCTCGTCGGGCCAGAGAGCTCGATGCACTCGAGGCTACTTCAGAGGACACGTTCACAAAAGGTGCCGACAAGAATCCTGCCGAGCAGACACATGTGTGCAAGCACACAGAGACACAGACAAACACATCTACGTGGTTAGACAGCTTCGGTGCAGCATCATGAAAAGAATCTGCGAATTGTGAGGTTCAAGACATGGGCTCGCACCATGTAAGATGTCTTGTTTTCCAACACAACTATGGCCGAACTCCACTCGCTTGCACGACGCCGAGGCAGGACTGTACCCTTTTCTCCGTTGCCTGCGAGGTACACGAGCAGCAGAGTGACAGCCAAGCCCAGACCTGGGAGGCACCAAAAGTCCAAGCTAAGTTCCGTGACCCCGAGCAGTGGAAGCCAAACCTGGTCGCCGTCTGTGCATGTCCTGAGGCCATGAGTCATTAAGCTTTGTTGGAGTGGACAATCCGACGACACGTGCGCATCGAAGCGTTCTCAACACAAGACTCGAGAATGCAAATCATGCGGATGCCTGAGGTCAACTATTTCTAGAAGCAATGAACACTGTCCTCCATTCCCAGGGCGCGGGGTTCTAGTTTTGGATCGGCTGCAGAAGTTTTTCGGATCAGGGGAGGATAGTTTCGGTGCCCAGTTTCGGCACAGCGGGAGTCAGTTTCGGGACGCGGGTCTGTCAGTTTGATTCTTGCAGGCCTGGGCCTCAAGCTGACCCTGGCGTGAGACCGAAACTGACCATGTCCTGATCCGAAACTTTCCCGGACCATGTTGCGAAACTCCGCCCCGAAACGCAGCACCGAAACTGGCCCCGAAAACCCCGAAACTCACAACTTCTCCTCCGTTCCACTGCAAGCCTATCCCTATCCTACCCTTGCAGAGAGGGCACCAGCAGGGAAAGTAAACTTTGTGCTCAGCCCCTTGCCCGGCCTCCCCTCATTTTCTTTGATTTGCGGGCCTACCCGCCCCCTCCCACCTCTTTTTTTCCTCCACCCCGCCCCCCTCCCCCTTCCCGCCCCCCCCCCCCCCCCCCCCCCCCCTCCCCCCTCCCTCCCCCCCTCTGAGATGTAACCTGGACGTGTATCCCCTCGCTAGGCGTACAGGAACACAGGCACTCAGGTGTCTCTTTTGCTACAGGCGCACAGCTGTAGTCCATTGCACTAGAACCTTGAGCAACAGGCATGGATACATGCAAGTGATACGTGAAACAGACAGGCACCTGGATGTGTAACATTCAGTGTTTCAACCAGGCACAAATTTAAAACACGTAGAGCTGCATGGCCGTGGAGTCGGCAATCTACAAGCCTGTTATTGCTCTTGGTCGAATTAGCGGAGTATTGAGCTACATCTGCGACTTGAAGAGAATCTATACATCTCTAGCCTGAAGACAGCTTCAATGAAAAGAGCAGAACACGCACGAAACGCAAACGGATCTTCAACTGAAAACTTTTGCTTGAAAGTTGCCCACTTGTGTTTCAGTTCCCTCTCCAGGCGGAAAGCATACTGTAACATAAAGGTGTAAAGCTTAGCTTTACTTGATGCCAGCATGACATCTTGCGGCAAGGCAAATATATAAGGGCATTAGAAGTATCTTATCCTGAGATAAGTATCTTCCTTTGAGAAAGAGTTCTTTAGGAAGTACCTTTTCCTGAGAAAAGCATCTCCCTATGAAATGGCGAATGCTCAAAGTGGATACCTTCTTATGAAAGAAGCATTCCGTGAAACACACAGCCAGTTCAGTCGACGAACTCTAGGTCTGCATCCCAGGTTCTATCACGCCAATGATCCTCACCATGCCAACGGTAGATGTCGACAGTGTGAATCGGCATCACCGGCTGATGACGAACAGGGTCGTAACCGCGGGGATCAGCAGGGGATCTAGGTAGCGATATCTGTGGATCTGGAGCAACGTCTCCAACTTGTTCCAAAGGAACTTCTTCAGAACCATTGTCCATATCCACGTCCGAAGAATCGGAACCTAGTCAGTTCTTCCCCTTGTTCTTGCCCTTGGACTTGTCCTTGGATTTGCCTTTGGACTTGCCCTTGTCGGCGTCCTTCCCTTTTCCTTTGGAGGACTTGCCTCCTTTGCCGCCTTCTTTGCCACCAGGAGGTTGTGCGGGTTCTGGAGGACGTTGAGAACCAGAAGCTTTAGCACCAGAAGCTGCCTCTTCCTGAGAAGAGCTTGCTCCCTGTGGTGCGGCTGCAGGACCAGTAGAACCAGAACCACGCGCCTTGTTCAGCTTCTGTCTCTCTTTTCTTCTGTCCGCGGCTTCCTTCATGGTGTCGGGATTGCGGTTGAGCGCTCTCATCCTGCCTCCAGAGTACTGGTTCGCGTGAACCTCGATGAGGAGCGGAGTGTGAGCGTCATAGTCCCGATCGTTGAGAAGGTACGCGGCGCTGGTGGAGTTTAACAGCCACTCAGAGACATGGATGTCGAACTCAGTCTTTGAAGACGGAAACTCCGCCCATTGATCGTCCGACATGCTGTGTCCCCATTCCATGACTGTAGCCATAACAGGATCCAAACCAGGAAAGGTATTCCAGTCTGGTTGCTTAGCTTCCTTGTATGGCATTCCCAGCGTGTCCTCATACTGTTTCAGAAGCCACATGGCGTTTGCTGACACATGTCTCGCACGAGGCGAACAGAGGTGTGGGCACTTTGGGCTTTCTGACCATGCCTCCAAGAAGTAGTCGAGAAGGCTTTGGTACATCCCGCCACGAATATCCATCGACTCCTGCTTTCTGCCGGTGGCCCGGTAGAGGGCCATGTTGGCGTCGCCACCGATGAGGTCGACTTGGTAGTGCAGGCAGTCGATGAACATGTTGCCCAACACTTCATGAGCCAACGCCACCTTGTCTGCCGCCGCGTCGTTGTGGAGGTGGAAGACACAAACTCTCAGCCGGTCGGATCCAGCTCGCTCCAAGACCTTGGTCAGTGACTCATCTGGAACATCACCACGACTGCCCTGGAGACCGGTCGGTAACGTCATGCCATACACGATTTCCGCGACCATATAGGTTATTGGAAGGGACTCGTGGGCATATCCACTGAGAGTGGAGCCGGCAAGACGGGTGATCGAAGATCCGACACCATTTGTACGACTTCCCACCATCAGGTCCTTGGACTCGTTACGAAGGAATTGCCAACCGCGTGACTTGAGGAAGGCCTCTTCGGAGTCATCGATCTGAGCCGCTTCGCAGAGCATGAACAAATGCGTCTTCGACTGTGCAATCGATTTTATCAAGGCTCCTTTAGATGGTGTAGCATCGTCCCAGTCAATGTGATCAGCAACGGAGCGAGGAGCGGTACGCTTTCTTCCCCTGCTCATGTTGCCGAGATTGAGGATGAGCGCGGCATACTTGGTCTTGCTGGTGAAGATAGGGACATTGGAGTCCTCTGCCAGACCAAAACGATGAATATAAGGATTCGGCGTCTTCTCAAGAGAGAGGTCCCCGATCTCCTCTTCATCGACTCCGGCGCTCAAGAAGTAGTGAATCATAGCACTCAAAAGTTCTTCTCGAGTTGCCGGATTGCCGCTTGCATCCAGGGACTTCAGCTTATCAAGAAGTGCTTCCATGACTTCCAGTGCTGATTCTCGGATGTCAGAGGCCTTGCCCATGAGCTTGTCGTCCAAGGTGCTACGAACGTCCCCAGAACGAAAAACAACGTTCTTCTTGTCGGGACGACGCTCATAGATGGGATCCATCTTGTTGAGTTGGTCGAATAGATCCACCATAGAGAGAGAGTATTTCTGTCCCTTGTGGTTTGGAACATTTACCCTCCAACTCATATGCTGCACCTTGTAGGCGAGAACGGGCTCGTAATCAGGATCACGAAGTCCTGTATGATACAAGCCTGAATAGCCATATCCATGCAGCTGCTTGCAGAGCATCCGCATAGGGCTTTGTCGTTCGATTTCGGTGAGCTGCGTAAGGAAATGTTTGAACTCTTCGAGATCGACGAGCTCGATCTTTTCCTTTGCTTTGCCCATCTTGTCGAACGCGTTCTCATTCTGGTCCTCTGCATCCTTCGCGGCCTGGTAGTACTCAGGATCCGGAACGGTCTTGCATTTCCCCCAGATGCCTTGATCGTGAAGTTCACTTTCATCATCCTTCTCGGGAGAAATGTCTGGCATGGATTCCTCACCCTGTGGTGAGCCTTCCTCAGCCATTTCGACGTTCTCGGACTTACCTCCTTCCTGACCCATGTGCGCATCAGGTTCGACCTTCACCTCGGATGCCTCTCCCTGTGGAGAGCTTTCCGTGGCTTCGGTCTTCTGTTGTGGAACATCCACCCCAGATGCCTCCCCATGTGGAGAGCTTTCCGGAGCGTCCGTCTCCATTGGCTCGACAGTAACCCCAGATGCCTCTCCCTGTGGAGAGCTTTCTGGAGCTTCAGTCTCCATTGGCACATCGGTCGGCTCGGTCTTAACCGGATCAACCTTCTTGCCTTGTGGCAAGTCCGTGGATCCAGACGACGGTTCGGAGGTATCCATCTGAGTAGCCGCGGGAGGCTCCTCGATCTCCTCGATCTGTGGACATGGGAGTCGCTCGATGAACTCCTCGATCATAATGTCGTCATATGGTCGAGTGAGGAGCTCATTCAGCTCAGACTCCTTCTTCGCCTTCAAGTCTTCGTACGCCACTAAATCAGCTTTTGCCTTGCGGGCGAAAGCCGACTTGAAATCGCGCTGGTCAGACTCCGTGAAGACTTTCTCCAGAACCGCCAGGAGGTAGCTGCCGTTGAACGGCTGCTTCAGGGTACTGTCATAGAGACAATAGCCCTCAGGGGTTCGCACCGTGTATTTACGGCGAACCTCCAGATCACCGGCGTGGCGCTGGATGTAGGAGAAGAAGTCCACTCCATAAGCCTCATTGATGACGCGGACGAGCATCTGGAAATCCTCTCGCACATAGCCAACCTCTTCATACACATACCTTTCCCTGAGGAAAGCCTTGTGTGCGGCGAGCTTGCGAGAGTAGTCGGGATCCTCTGTCCTTGGCATCTTTGCACGAGAGTCATTGTCCCGAGGGCGATCGAATCCAATGTTACCCAAATTGGGCCTGAATTCGTTCGACGCGGCAACGGAGACATCGTCCAGCATCTGGGCAAGACCGCCAGGATGACGCTTAAAGTTCATCCAAGGTGACGTGTAACCGTTGGAGTAAACCTTCGGTTTCTTGTCCAGCTCCACGAGGTAGTTCCCCTGCAACTTCCCCATCTCGAAGGCCTTGAGGAAGAAGTGCAGGGAGTACCCCGAAAGAGGATGCTGCAACCACGATGCCCAATCGTATTCACCACCCAAAGACTCTCTCATAGAAGTAGTCAAAGTGTGCCAGGGGGTGACCTGAACGAGGGCATCGCCATAGGTGCTAAGCATCGGCTGGCCAGAGGAGTCCACCATGTGCAAC